TAGAGTGTAAGAAAGTAGTCCAGTTTCATTGTCTTGTATGTAGCTGTCCAGTTTTCCCAGCACCATCTGTTGAAGAGACTGCCTTTTTTCCCCATTGTACATTCTTGTCTGCTTTGTTATACATTAGTTAACCATATCATTAATCCTGAATTTATTTTTGGGCTTTCTGTTCTGTGGACCTATGTGTCTCTTCTTGTGCCAGTACCATACAGTTTTGATTACTACAGCTCTGTACTATATCTTAAAATCTATGACCTTACTAAATTCATTTATCAGTTCTGGTAGTTTTCTAGTGGAGTCTTTATGGTGTTCTAGGTATAGTATCCTCTCATTTGCAAAAAAAAAAAAAAATGAGTTTTATTTCTTCCTTACCAAGTTGGATGCCTTTTATTTCTTTTCCTTTTCTTGATTGCTGTGGCTAGGATTTCCAGTACTGTGTTGAATAAAAGTAGTGAGAATGGGCATCCTTGTCTTGCTCCTGATCTTAGGAGAAAAGCTCCTAGTTTTTCACCATTGAGTATGATGTTAGCTGTGCATTTTTCATATATGGTCTTTATTATGTTGAGGTATGTTTCCTCTAAACCTCTTCCCTTTATTTTTGAATAATATTTTTGCTGTCTATAGATTTAGTTTGTAGTTTTTCTTTCAGCACTTTGTAATTCCTTTCTTTCTTTGTTTTTATGTTTTGTAATTTTAGTGTCTTTGTCTGGCTTTGGTATCAGAATGATGTTAACTTATGAAGTGAGATTGGAAGTATTCCTTCTATTTTTGGGAAGAGGTTGAGTAGGATTGGTTTTTAGTTCTTCTCTAAATGTTTGGTAGAATTCATCAGTGAAGCCATCTGGTCCTGGACTTTCCTTTGTTGGGAGGTTTTTGATTACCGATACAGTCTCCATACTAGTGACTTATGTGTTCATATTTTCTATTTTTTCATGATTCAGCCTTATATTTCTCTAGCTTTTATGTTTCTTCTAGGTTTCATTTCTTCTAGGTTGTCCAATTTATTGACATGTAATTATTCATTGTCTTTTACAATCCTTTATATTTCGTAATATTAATTCTAATGTTTCTCTCATTTATGATTTTGAGTCCTCTTTTTTTTTTTCTTGCTAACTCGAGCTAAAGATTTGTCTATTTATCTTTTTAAAAATCCAGTTCTTATTTTTGTTGATCTATTGTATTTTTGTCTCTGGGTCATTTATTTCCACTCTGAGCTTTGTTATTTCCTTCCTTCCACTAATTTTGGGCTTAGTTTTTTATTCTTTTTCCAGTTCCTTGAGGTGTAAAGTTAGGTTGTTTATTTAAGATCTTTTTTCTTTTACTGTAAGCATTTTTCACTATAACTTTATATTTTAAAACTGCTTTTACTGTATTCCATAATTTTTTGGTATGTTGCTTTTCCATATCATTTGTCTCAAAGTATTTTTTTATTCTTTGATTCGCTGGTTTAATCACCACATAATTGTAGAGTTTTCGGTTTTCTTCTTATAATTGATTTTTAGTTTCATATCCTGTGGTCAGAAAAGATGCTTGGTATCAGTTTTTTTTTAATTAAGACTTGTCTTGTGGCCTAACATATGATTTATATTGGATAATGTTCCATGTGTGCTTGAGAAGCATGTAGAGTCTGCTGATATTGAGTGGAATGTTCTGTATATGTCTGTTAGGTCCATCTGGTCTACACGTAGGTTAAGTCCAGTCTTGAGGCACTTTACAAAGATGCTATTCTATGTCTTCTGCTCTCATAGTTCCCGTTGGTCAGGTATCAGCTTATTGATGCTACTTAAAAGTAACCCTCTTTTACTCTCTGGCAGCTTTTAATGTTTTTGTCTTCGATTGTCAGCAGTTTCTGTGGTCCACCTGGCGATAGTTTTCTTTTTCTTTTTCTTTTTCTGGGCTTCATATACAGCTTTTTGAATCCACAGGTTGACATGTTTTATTGGTTTTGGGAAATCCTCTGTCATCATTTCTTAGGAATTCTTTCTGCCCCATTCACTCTCTCCAAGGACTTCAGTTACAGATACATAGGGCTTTATAACTTCTCCTCTGTGCTGTTCTATATTCTTGTCTCCCTCCTCTGTGTATCTTTGTTTCTTTCTGGATAGTTTTTTTCTGGTATAGCTTCTATTCTAAAATTTTCATTTTACGTATGTATCTTTTCCATTTTATTTTTAATAATTTTGTTTTTTATTATTTTTGTTTCTCGAATAATGTGATTCATTTTCAAATTTTCTGTGGCCTTCCTTACTCCCCACTCTAGTTTCTAGTTTTTATGCCAACGTTCTCTTTTTAAGTAATCTTTAAGTACACATACTTATCATTACTTTAAAGTATTTGTTTAATAACTTTGCCATCTAGAGGTCTGTGACCCTGTTACTTTGGGCTACCTCTGCTCTTCCTCATGTTTTAATAGATTTATCCAAGTCTAGGAATTGCATTTAAAGTATTGTTTTGGTTGCATTTACAGATTTCTGTATGTATGCATATTCAGTTAAATATTTAGTAATTTCTATCTTTTTATATCTTGTGGAATGTCCAAAAGAACATATTTTAGTTTCCAAGTACAGGGAAGTTTGAAGCTACCTTTGTATCTGATAGCTTAATTTATTATAAGAACAGGGTATCGATTATTCTTTTGCATGCTTTTGTTTTTGCTCTTGTGACTTAAGGTTTTCTCTTTATTATAAAGAAATAACCTCAAAGTGTTTGTAGATGTACTTTTTAAAATTTGTCTTCTTTGGGATTCAGTGGACTCTTTAAATTTGTGATGTCTCCATTTATTTTGGGAAAGGTCTTGGCTTGACTATTATTCAACTGCTACCCCACAATTCTTTTTTTTTTTTTGTAATTTTTGGAATTGTTATTGGGTAGATATTGGAATGTCTGCATCTCTCCTTCATATCCCAACTTCTCTTTGTATACATTTTATCATTTCATTCCTTTGTAATATTCTGTATCTTATCATCCAGGGAATAGTCCCTCCTGCAGACAGCTACTCCCTTAATTTTCAGGCTTATGATAATAGTGCCAGTAGTGGATACTTGAGGTTCTAGCCTGTGTTGTTTCTCACTAATCACCCTTTTGGTTGTTGACCTCCGGTACTTATTTCTTACCCCTGTATTTGAGATAATACTTTTCATATCCTTTCCCCCCTCTCCTATTTTCTATCCATGAGGCAATTCTGTGTCACGCGTGTGTGTATATTAAAATCTTATAACAGTGTGTGATAGGACATTCTCAAACAGAAGCAACCTAAATTTCTATCTTCTGTGATTGCTTGGGAAGAATTTAAAAAAATTAAGAAGAGTGAAGCAAGTAGAAAATAAGTTAACCCCTTCATTGGAATTGGGGAACCAAAGAGTGGGTCCCTGCATTTTCTGGGTCAGAGTTTTCTGAGTCAGGCAAAAGGACAAAACGACTACCAGCTATTTAGAAATCTTGGAATCATTATCGGTATATTGGAATTCCCAACTAGCATGGACCTAGAATTGCCCCTCTAGTATATAGGCCAGAGCAGGCAAGCACAACCAGATGGGGCATAATCACATGTAGGCCCTGAATAAGTTTGGATGGAGCAGCTGGGTTTTCCAGCTGCTTAACTATGGAGGCTGGCTTTGGTCATTTTCATTTCCCCTCAACAGTAGTCCAGTCTACATTTTACTGATCTCATGTTTTGTATCCCACTTACCTGTATTTTGGCAAGAATTTACTGTACTTTTAAAAAGGCATGTAAGCATAAATTAAAAATAAAGCTTGCCTTTCACAAATAACAAGTTACAGTTCTGTGCAACTCACTACTCTTCCTCCCCAGTGAGCTGATAAACTCTCCAATAATGTCCCTCTCATTCTCTCCCCCCAACCACACACACACGTGCAAATATGTATATACTTATACCTAGATATATAATCATAAATAAGACAATTTTTAACATAAATGCCATTACATAGTTTGTATCGTTTGGCAACATATTTTTAATTTAACTTAAAATTGACTGTGAATATCTAAAATTATGGTTCATCTGTTATGTTTATAAATTTGATTATCATATATCACATTTTATTCATTTTTCACCTTCCCTCCCATTCCCAACTCCTATCTGGGTACTTTTTCCACTCAAGACAATGCTGTAAAAACACCTTTAGACTTGGTTCCAATTTTAGTATATGCGCTGCCAAAGCGAGCACATAGACTTGGTTCCTTAGACAAATGTTTCTCTGGGGAATCAGATATTTTTCTCCCTAGAGTTAATCTGAAAATACAAGAGATTTTTTTTACTCATGCCTTTTGTCTGCCTGATATATATGCCCTTATTGGCCCTTAAATTTCTCTACTAGTACATCTGCAAGGAAGTAGACTGTGACTAACACTACTTGTTCTCATTAAAACTTAGTTATATATTCATCTTGGATTAATTAATTGCCGTTCTATGTTGGGTTTCCAGTGTTTCTATTATAAAGCTCTTCATCATATAGATTATTTTTAAATTATCCCAGTTACATTGTCTAGAAAAGATGATATTTCTTTTCCTTTATAGAGTTAATGACCAAATCACATTTGAAAATGTTAGATGCTTTTTGTCAAGATGGTGGGTGATGCTGGGGTGCCTGGGTGGCTCAGTTGGTTAAACATCTGCCTTTGCCTCAGGTCCTCATCTCAGGGTCCTGGCATCAAGCCAGCATGTCCCTGCTCAGTGGAGATTCTGCTTTTCCCTGTTCCTCTGCCCTTCCTCCTGCTCATTCTCACTCTTTCTTTTTTTGCTCCCTCATATAAATAAATAAGATCTTTAAAAAAAAATGGCAGGTGGTGCTAATCAATCCTGTTGATTCCTTTTTTCCATTCCTTTTGGAAGGGACAATGTGCTTAGAGTTTCTTTTCCTCCTATTCTCATATAGCCTGGTCTTTGGCAATATATTTGCATATTCTCCCCTTCCTAAATATTATGTCACTAGCCTGAATTTCATTTATACACTAATTCAAGATTATTTTTCTTTCCCCAAAGTTGGAACAAATACAGCAGGAATTCCTATACCTAATGAGAGAGGTCCAGGTTTGTATTTTTTCACTAACTAGTATTGTGACCTTTTGGCAAGACCTTCAACATTTATTTAATCTATAAAAAGAGAAGTCTTGAATAAATGATCTTCAGGCCTTCCTCCAGAAACTTCCTTGACCAGATTCACATGTGTAATTTCATTAACAATGAGGAACTTGGAATTATTTATTGCCTTTGGTTTAAGCACCAGTGCTTATTTATGTGTATTGAGATTTTGAACTGTAAACGTAGAATAGATTGTAAGATACTAAAAGCATGTTTTGTTTTACAGGTGCTTCTTTTGTCTTACTGTTGTAATATTAAATCAAAATGCCTATAAGACCAGTTCTCCAGGTATGTAGTCCTAGACCAAAGAAAGGAAGTATTTTAATTCCTAAAATCACTTCTGTTTATTTATGAGTGTTAAGTGCTATATTTTTAGGAAAGATGAAGCTTACTTATTTTTATGAAATGGTCAAGAGTAGAATAAGTTAAAACATTATTTTTTCATTTTTTAATAGATTGTTTTCACAATCTGTTATTTATGAAGTATGAAAGATGCTGATTATTTACATATACCTTTTACATTAAAAAATTATGCAGTGATTTATGTGTAATTTATGCTTGGATATTTTTATGTCAGGGTTTTTTTTGTTTTTTTTTTATTTTTTATTTATGATAGTCACAGAGAGAGAGAGAGAGGCAGAGACACAGGCAGAGGGAGAAGCAGGCTCCATGCACCGGGAGCCCGATGTGGGATTCAATCCTGGGTCTCCAGGATCGCGCCCTAGGCCAAAGGCAGGCGCCAAACCGCTGCACCACCCAGGGATCCCTTTATGTCAGGGTTTTAAATTTAAGATTGCATTTTGATAAAAACATTTAAATATAAAAAGTTTTAATATATCTATTTAATGTGTATGCAATTTACCACCAAATCTGGTGATCGGATTATAGTATAAAAATTCCTTATTAGTGATGTTATACTTCACTGGTAAGAATGGTGTATTTTATAAAGGCTATAAATGTATAACATAATAAATTGTATATGTAATTCTTAAATTATATTGATATGATTTCCAAAAGTGATTTTATCTGTCTTTATGCATTTTTAAAAAACTATTTAAATCTCATTAAGAAATCGATAGGTGGGTGGCTCAGTTGTTTGGTGCCTGCCTTTGGCCCCCGGGTGTTGGGCTCCCTGCATGGAGCCTGCTTCTCCCTCTGCCTGTGTCTCTGCCCCCACCCCCCCCCGCCCCTCTCTCTCTCTCTCTCTCTCTCTCTGTGTCTATCATGAATAAATAAATAAAATCTTAAAAAGAAATTGATAGGTGTGTTAGGGATTTATCCATGGTGTTAGTATTAGTTACTATAAAGTTTATAAAGTTTATTTTACGTCTTTCATTAATAAGTTTTTTTGGAGCTTGATGTGATGATGACTTACAATAAAAGATACGAAGTGGAAAATTAGTAGACTATATGTATGTATATATATATTTTTCGTAGAATCTTGCTGTTACCAAAAAAGCTTGATCTCTGTGTTACTCCGAATTTAATAGTTGACAGCTTTTTTTTTAAATAAGTAAATTGATATAAGCTCTTCTGAGAATTTTCATGCAAAAACAATTCTTTAATTACTAGACTGCATACAGTGACTCATTTTGGTTTTGATTCCATCTCTGTGCCATTAACTGTATTTCTCTAGCAGTTGGAAAAATGCATTGATGATGCTTTAAGAAAAAATGATTTCAAACCTTTGAAAACACTTTTACAAGTTGATATTTGTGAAGATGTGAAGATTAAATGCAGCAAGCAGTTTTTACACAAATTGGATGGCCTTATATGCAGGGTAAATAACTGCTTTTTGTTGAATGATTGTTAAAATTATTGAATAGTTCCCTTTCTAGGAAAAAATACTAGTGTTAAAGTTGGAAGAAATGGTAAACTTGATTATAATATTATATAAATAAGTGCTCATTTTTTAAAAAAATCTGAGGAGTCCCAATAATAAACTACTGTTTTCTAAATAAAATATACAAAAGGCTATGTTTCCATAACATTACCGTTATTAACTGTTACCTAAACTGAGGAAAAATAGTTCACCTGTTTGAAGTTCGAACAACTCTTAAAAAAAAAACAAAACAAAAACCTATCAGCATATTCTTCATGCTATGGGGACAGTGACTGAAGCTTTCAAAAATTAAACAAACAAAAATGATCTAAAACCCTGAACTTGATATTTATCATATGTAAGGCATTTTTATACAGGAGAAAAAGTGATTGACAGTCTCCCCCAGTATCTGACAGTTATGAATCTAAAAGATTGAGTAAAAATTTCTTATTTCCATTAGTTAAACACATAGAACTTTTTAGAATGGAAGGTAACTGACTCATTGAACTGTAGTCCAAAGGTTCTTGAATTTATACAAATCTGCCTATTCGTATTAGGTTTGTCATTCACAGGCTGGGTGGCTTTAGTCCTTGCTTCTCTCAACCACACTTCTGTACTTTGCAATATGGAGATGATAATAGCAGCTTTCAGGATTTGTGAGGATTATAGCTTCTAGCACAGTACCAGTACTACACTATTTTGTATTAACATGTTTAAGTGTATCTTTTTTGTTTTAGGAGCTTAATAAAAAGGATATCCAAATAGTTTCAACCATTTTGGTTTCTTTTGGAAGATGTGGAAAAAATATCACTATATTGGGGCAAGCTGGACTTTTAACTATGATAAAACAAGGACTGATCCAAAAGATAAGTATGGGATTTGTAATATTTATATGAGGGAAAAAAGATTCAAGGTGTGTTTTCTAATAAATGGTTCAAACAGTTGAGAAATAAATTTGGGGACTTTACATAAAACTTTAGATAAGTATTTTTGTAACTTGAGCTGTATGTTACAAAGATAAAGATCAAAAAGACACTCTATACATAGGCTCCTTAATCATCATATGAATTTAAGGCCATAAGGATCCCTGAAGCCTTTACTTGCTTTATTTTCTCTTCTCTGTTTACTGTCTCACTTCCTTTTTCTTTTGATGTTGCTTACTATCTATTTCCCATGCTAGAATGTGGGATATTGATTTTTATTTGTTTTGTTCATCTCTGTATACCTAGTGCTGAGAGCAGTATCTGGGATGTAGTACATGCTCAAATATCTGAATTAATTAAAGTATAATAATACCAAAACTTTTCAAATAGTAGTAATGCCAGAATAATCTAACTTAGGATGGTAATATATTTTCATCTATTAATGAATGTGCCTGGACTAGGAATTTGAAGGGGGAAATAAAGATCTACTGCCTAAGGTAGCCCAGGTGGCTCAGCGGTTTAGTGCCGCCTTCAGCCCAGGGCCTGATCTTGAGACTTGGGATCGAGTTCCATGTCAGGCTCCCTGCATGGAGCCTGCTTCTCCCTCTGGCTGTGTCTCTCCCTCTCTCTCTGTGTCTCTCATGAATAAATAAATAAAATCTTAAAAAAAAAATTTCCTGCCTAGAATTAGGATTAGTTCATCCATTTCCATCTAAACAATGGGAAAATATAGAGAGTTTCCAAAAATAGAAACAACAGAGAAGTTTAAAAACATAAACTTATTTTCATATAATACTGATATTTTAATTTTTGATGTTTTCTAATAAATGGTTCAAACAGTTGAGAAATAAATTTGGGGACTGATATTTTAATTTTTGATGTTTCTTTATTCCTAAATTTACTGTTTATGTGAGATAAGTACATTCTAAAGTTATTAAAATTGAATTCAAAGTAACTAATATATATGTTTCTTTTTTTACATGGTTGCATGGTTTGAGAAATCCAAGGATATTATTCTCCGTCGAGGAAATTCAAAAGATGAGGCCATTATAAATGTGATAGAAGACTTATTTGATCTTTTGATGGTAAAAATCACGTTGATTAACCAATCTTACAAGCATATGTTTATTTAAATATTTTGTGTTCTTGTGTCTCGAGCCTAAAAGTCACTAACAGATTGGTTAGTGACTTGATTGGATTAGTCTATTCAGATTGTATAAAGCACTTAACCTGATTCATATAATTAAATAGTTAATAAAAGTTAAGTTATTACATGGTGAGTTCAAATATGATCTGTTACTTTAATATTATTTTAATATTTGCTACTGTATCAATACAATATAATGTTTTTATAATACAAGATACTTTATAAATTAAATATTCATTTTTTTCAGGTCATACTTGACATCAGTGATGAAGGTATAATAAGCATTTTATTTCTAATAAATAATAATAATTTGCTGTTAGAGTTTTAGTATAATTTTGCAATCCTCAGAGTATTCTCCTAATATTAGGCATCTAACTATTTAATTTAGGGGTCAACCACCTTTTACTATAAAGGGCCAGATAGTAAATATTTTAAACTTTATATTAGAGCCAAGCAAAAAAACTGAGGATAGTATATAGGTACTTATATAACAAGAAAGAAAACACATTTCCACAGATATCTTATTGATACAATTCAAGATACTACAATAATGGAGTACAGTGTTTTTGTAATATACGTCAACTAATGAGAATAGCACTATTTTGACGGGATGACATTTCACTTAATTAAGGCTCAGAGTTAGTGTTTGCTCTTATCAGAATTGATTGCAAATGTTCATTTTTATGCTTATCTTAATGATATTTTATGTAAATTGCATTAGAAAATGTCTTTTCATGCAGATAATGCCAAATACTCATACCAATTCATGAGCACGATTTTTAATTGGGCATGTTCATCACTTGGAAAGCATTTATAGAATTTTATCAGATACTTAATACTTGCCTTTTAGAATATCATTGCATTCCAGATGAGTCACTTTCAACTGAAGGTTAGGTGGAACCTCAGCTGAACATTTAAACGGATTTTGAAATATGGGAATTTCCTGTGTACTTCATCAGTGTCCAGAAATGCTGCTGGACCTGTGATTGGAGCTTACAAAAAATGTACTCCTCTACCTTTGTGTGGGAATGGAGATGTCTGTCCTTGTTTTAATTTTTGACAGCCTGGGAAATGTATAGAACAGTTAGCATTATTTGTGATTCAGATAACCTTCGTTTCATTGAAATGACTTTAGCAAGTGTGAGTTTGTCATAGAAGCATGATTTTGCTCTGTAATTTTGGGTTGAGTTCATTAAGAAACAACAACTCTGCAGTGCATGCTAATTACTGAAGTCATCCAGTGGTACCTGATATTGGCTAAGTTCATGAGAGTATAATGAAATTCACTTTGATAGTGCTGGTTCAGGGATTAAATTATTTCCACAGAGTACTTGCTGTTGAATAATACAGCCATACAACACGGGCGGTGGGGTGGATTTGGTTTGTGGGTCATAATTTGCCAACTTTTGATCTCTACATATGGGACAGAATTTTCCATATGTAGAGCACATAACAACTCATTCTCACTTGTGAATGAATGGCCACTGTTTTGTGCCAAGCAGGCAGTCCAAATTATTTTATCTCTGTTGGTTGAAGAAGTCATTGAGGCTGGTGAATTGTTTATAAATAAAGGAAAAATTAGTCTTCAGAGCCAAAAAGTTTTAAAAGTTCAATTGCTGTTCACCTCAGTAGTAGTTAATGCTACCTTTTCATTGATTGCTTTCCAATTGACATATCATCTAGTCTAAATTCTTAAGATTTTAGGGAAGAAAACAGTCCTGAAGTGTCAGTAAATATGAAATAATCCAAGTGTTTTTTTTTCTTAAGTAAATCATTATATCTTTTTACCTAATTGAGTAATTTTTTTCTTTTTTCTTTTTTTTACCTTCAGTCTAGTCACTTTGGAAAGTTGTATATTTTTTTATGGTATTACCATTATTTAAAATTATTTTTTAAATTTGCATTATGAAATAACATGCAGCAAATTTTTCTGAATATATTTAGTATTGATAAAGCCTTGTCCTTTGAGAAGAGGGTTAACTTTTAGAAAAAGCTCAAGGTATTTAGATCTTACAAAGATCTATTGAGTGTTTACATCTGCTATGGAACTTTCGATATATGACTAAATTAATGAGGCCAGTTTTCATAAGAATGTCACGATAGAAATTTCCATTTTGAACTATATTTCATCCGAAAAAAAGTCTTACTGCCTTAGGTGCCTGAAAGGAGAAGCTTATTCTGAAGTTACACCTTTGCCAGAGTTAAGATGAGTCAGATCTGTTGAACGGCATTTTTTCAAAGCCAACATAGCTAGTTAGTGAAAGAACAAGAACTGCATTCCATGTTTTCTGCTGCCCAAAACAGTCGTGGGCCTTTTGTGAACTAGTGCATTCTTTCATTAACTCATATGAGAAAAGATTGCCATTTAAAATACACATTTATTAATTATATAACACTTTCTTTCAGGTAGAAGGCAAGTAGTGGAAAGTTTCGTGCCTCGAATCTGTGTCCTAGTTACTGACTCAAGAGTGAATATTTGTATTCAGCAGGAGGTAAAGTCATTTGTTAGATTTTTTAAAAAAAAACTAAAAATGAGAGAATGAAGCAAATTTAGTAGCAATTCATCAAATTGAATAATTATTTTCTCTTGGTACTAAATTAACTATGTAGTATATTTCTGCTGTCTTCATTGCCTGATGTGATGAATAAATATATTACCCAAATATTTATTGAAAAGCCATAGCCATCTGTGTTTATGTATGCATATAGCCCATATGAAAATAAACTATACCATCCAGATATTAGGAGTCCTCAGTATTTAAATGGTAAACATAACCTGTATTTGTATATGGATGTATGTGCATGTATATAACCATAGAACAAATGTTAATCAGGTTATAGTTTTTGGTTCTTTAGTTCTTGGAGTAATAATAAACATATGTCTTATTGCAAAGAGTATAATTGGAATTATAGTATATTTTATTTTTATATCCTTTATTTCATGTTTTTTTGTGTTCACTATTTTATACTTTATATTCTTTCCTCCACCCTTCTTTATTCACTGCATAAAATTGTTGTGCTTAAGAAAAAAAAATAGGCTTCTAAGTTTGTGTACATAGAGTATTCCTCTAAATATTTTGTTTTACTGAATATATAAAGTTAATGGATTATCTTTTTTTTTTCTTTTCTAGACTCTAAAAAAAATGAATGCTATGCTTGACAAAATGCCTCAAGATGCCAGGAAAATACTCTCTAACCAAGAAATGTTAATTCTCATGTAATAATTTGTACTATGTTCCTTTAATTAGTGGTTCAGGTCAAGAATTTAGAGGATATTTTATAAGGCTGTAAAATAACCATGAGTTGCATTAATGATTAAAACTGATAAACTGTTGTAGATTTCTAATATAATTTATAACTATATTTTTTGCAAAAATCTGTGATACCAGCCAATTGTTAATTTTAGTGAAGTTTTCCCCCTAAATACCTGGGTTTTCTATTTAATTAGTACTAGTTTGGTATGTAATCTATTATTTTGATTTACAGGAGTAGTATGGGAGAAAGGATTTTAGATGCTGGAGGTAAGTATATTTTTTCAAAATATTCATATTTTAAATTATTCCAAATTTATCAACAGAATATAATCTCTTTAGTAAAAATAATATTAACATTGTAATGTAGTGAGATTATGTGAGGGAATTATAAACTATGTACAAGCAAGCAGTTTTTAATTACTAATAGGTAATTAAGTGATCTATAACTGTGGGACAAAAATAATTAAGCATGATGAAAGGAGTTGTCAAATATAACTTGTGCCTAATGGTATATTTATGAATAAAAACTTAATTTTCTAACATATTTGAATTACTTTTCCTAAGAAATTCCTCAAATAGTGTTTTATGAAATTGTAGGTTTAATATTTTGGGGACTTAGAAATTTGTTTTTAAACAATGTGTTTATTAAAAGAACTCAAATAATCTTTTCTAAATTTCATATAAGAAAAGTTTTATGTAGTGATATACATATAGAACAAACCACTGATTAAAGTACTTTGGAATAAAGATAAGCAGAATACAAAAGTAAAAGGCCTGTGATTTATAGACTATCATCTGAGTTATTTTGTAGTTCACAACTCTAATAATGGAATGTCAGAGTCTTTGATTACATAGAAGTTACTTTCAAATAATTCTTTTTTTTTAATTTTTACTCCTTTCTTCTGTTGGTAAACTTGTTATTTGTCCATATTCATTCTGTGCTGATGAGATCTGTCTAATCCATTTGAACAAAATGGCAAAAGATGAGTGAAAAAAACTAATATTTTTCTTCTTTCTCTTGTTCTCATTCCTTATAAACAATGACTTATAAACTTATTTTTCATAATTTCCAGTAATACATTAATTTTTTTTTTTAAGATTACGACTTACAAGTAGGTATCGTAGAAGCACTATGTAGAATGACTACAGAAAAACAAAGACAGGAACTGGCATGTCACTGGTTTTCAATGGATTTTATTGCTAATGCATTTAAAGGAATTAAAGACTCTGAATTTGAAACAGTAAGTAGAATAAAAATAACAAATTAACAAGTTTTTTATTACTATACTTTTTAAAAGTCTCTCTTTTTTTTAATTAGGATTGCAGGGTATTTCTCAACCTTGTAAATGGCATGCTTGGAGACAAGAGAAGGTAAACTTAATACAATATTCAGCCATTTACTGATAAAGAACTAGAGCTCAAGAGGGAGCACACAGTGTTGAACCTTTAAAATTTATTTGGTCTCTTGGGATATAAAAATGCACAGGGGCATTTAAAATAATACCTTATTATAACACCATGTAAGAAATTACTGCAATGGTAGGCTGAAAGAATTGCACTGGTCTTATTTTTTACTTCATAGTTTTTAGAGGAAACATGCATTTTTATTTAATATTAATAACTGTCTAAATTTGGTTTATTATATTTTAGAATTGCCTATACATTATCATAAATTTCATCTTTAAGGAATAATAAAATTTTGATACATATATTACTTGAGCTACCTTCTTTATCCACATACTGGTAGAAAAATATATAGCAAACAAGTTTTCTTTTATATATATATATATATATATATATATATATATATATATATATATAATTCACTGTAAGGCTGACCTCTTTCTGAGGTTATTTAATCTCAGGAATGGGCATGAATGAAAGGTAATTATCACTTTTGATAGTAATAGAAGAGCAGTATTTGCAGTTCAGTGCCTGACACTGTGTTATAGATGCTCAGGACAGCTTTATTGGATGAATGAGTTCACATTTACTTTATTTACTAAGGAAATAGAAGACAAGGTAAGGGTTGAATGCAGGGACTCGTGTTTTTTGGATTTGAATCATAGGTTTCCCTCTTCCTATTCTGATGTTGGGCAAATTATTAGACTTACTTGCCTTAGTTTCCTTAGCTGTAAAATAAAAATACAGCACCTACCTATATATTTATTGTAGAAACTAAGTGAGATGATTATATATCAAGTGCTTATAATGGTATCTGACCAAGAAAGTGTTTGGCAAATTAGATCATTTTTATTAGCTGTATTATTCACTTCTCTTCTTTTCCTATGTAAATCCTATAGGAGCTTCCACCACTTATTCCACTATGTCAATACAATAAACTGAATTAGGAATTTTTACTCCTAGTAAATAGCATAAAAAGTAAAGTTGTACAGTTATTGTAGTCAGAATGGGAGGTTGAGTAGTAGTGACACCAAAATAATATACTTTTTCTATAGAAACAAATTTCCATTAAACTCTTACTTTAAAAAGTAATAAAGGAGATATGAATTTATTTAAATCATTAAGATCACAGCATGATTTCCTTTTGATCTTAGACATGATTTCAATGGTTAGTCAAGATTACACTGTGAAGTCTTATTAAATTTTTCTCTAACACAGACTACTTTTTATTTTAGGGTCTTTACGTTTCCTTGTTTATCAGCATTTCTTGATAAATATGAGGTAAGTTTTAGATTTAACATGTTTTAGTTATTGGATGAATTTTGATACAAGGTCAAGTGAATTACAAGTTACAAGTTGACAAGAACATTAAAAATAAAAATAGTCATAATTTGATCACAAATATAGGTTTAGTATTCTGTGTCTAAGAGACATTTTATGAAGTGATATATTTGTAGCTAAGGATAACTGAAATATGAAGGTTGTACTTCAAATTTTCTTTTTTTCTTTAAGTCAAACATATTATTGATTTACCATTCATTAATCAAACTAACATTTTATTTGCACTTTCCACTTGGAATCTTTGTGATTTCTTAGAGCTAGCTAATTTCTGTGTAAGATAATGAAGCAGCATTTCTTTTCATTGTTTCTAAATTGGTTTAAATGCTCTATTTGATCTTTCTCTTTGTTCACCTCTTGCTGTCTTTTTTTCTTTTTAAAAAAACAAACAACCATGAGTATAACATAGTCATAATTTTCTGTTGTCACTTTTAAAATCATAGTATATAGTAGTTTTTTATGTTTGTTTTATTAGTTACAAATACCTTCAGATGAAAAACTTGAGGAATTTTGGATAGATTTTAATCTTGGGAGCCAGACTCTGTCATTCTACATTGCCGGAGATAATGATGTAAGTTCCATCTACCATTTTATGTTTGTATATGTGTATGTATACAATGTTTTAATCTAAGAACATGGATTTTTTGTATATTTATTTTTCTAGCTATTTTACTAGATTTCAATATTAACTCTATACTTTTGATTAGCATGGTAACCCATTCAGTTAATTAGAAATGAAGATTATATCTAATGTTTTATTGGAACAGAAAAATTAATGCTAGATTTCATTATTTATTTTTTAAAGCTGGATTTTAATACTAGTTTTTAAATCTAAGATTTTTCATAAATAAATTATAGGTTAGTGATCTAACATTTAACATTCATATGAACATGTGAACTGGAATCTAGAAGAGATACCAGTTAATCAAATGCAGAGGTACTCCTTAAAAATATTTTAACAGAGAATGATGAGTAGTCTTTATCCATTCATAAAATTTTCCATTTCGAAATTCTGAGGTATTAATTCTTATGGTACTATTTGGAAGTGATTTAGTTCTTTATGTGCTATGTTGTAGCCATATTTAAACCTTCCAACCAGATGGTATATTTTCTACTGCCTTAGTTTAATCTGAGAATTCTTGAGCCATTGTTTCCAAATAGCTACCACTTAATATTTGGTCCATGGGCATACTTCTGGCCTGGAGTAAATAGTTACTTTGTTAAAATCCAACTAAGAGTTGATCTGCATTTTTTAATCTAATTGTGGTTACTGATATTTTAATGAGAATCTAGACTTCTTAGTCTGTCTCTTGTAAAATCCTGACTTTTGTTCCAGGTAAACTATGATAGACATTAAGCAAATGCCCCTGAGGATTTCCATATACCATTATTTCTTTTTATTTTAGAACACCTTTGTAGAATGCTTTATTAAAATTTAGTTCTAAGTATTAGCACTGTTTCTCAGGGCCAATGACAGTTTTTACTGGTGTATTTTTCCAGCAGGGTTTGTAGGAATATTTTTAACTGGGTTTTCTTTCAGAATGGTCTTTGATTTCAGGAGAAGAAGATAGAATAGGATTGATGTAGTCCCTGCCTTCACTGAGTTTGGTCTAATGGATGATTTCAATGAGAAAATAAGCAATTACAGTATGATATATGGTAGGGATAGTATAAAATGCAATTATAAGTGTTAAATGCCTACCATGTGCCAGAAACTGACCTAGAAATGCAGGAGATTCCTCCAAAATATAGATTTAGAATCCTCTCTTTCCTGGATTTCTATAGTACATTCTCCTGTATTCTCTTGACTTTTCTAAAAGCCATTCTCCATGTATTGCTTAAGATCCTTCTTTTGTCTCTTTAGCATTGTGTATGAGGGTCTTTATGATCTGGTCCCTGGCTATTTTTCTCATATCTCAGACCATTCTCTATGCTTACTATGTTCCAGACACCTTAATTCTATTTCTTTAACAAAGATCATGCCCATTTCATATCTTTCTACTTGTTGATTCTTCTGCCTAGAAACTTCCAAATCTTTGCATCATAGTTTCTTCTCATTTAGATTTCAGTACAAATACTGCTTCTTTATAGAGATAAAGAATTGATAACCCAATCTGACGTTTAAAGTTGCCTCCCAGCCATATGATCCTCTCAATAGATGCAGAAAAAGCATTTGACAAAGTACAGCATCCTTCTTGATTAAACCTCTCCACAGTGTAGGAATAGCGGGAACATACCTCAATATCATAAAAGCCATTTACAAAAAGCCCACAGTGAATATCCTCAAAGCTCTCAGCTTTTCCCCTAAGGTCAGGAATACGACAAGGATGTCCACTGTTGTTCAACATAGTACAGGAAGTCCTAGCCTCAGCAGTCAGGCAACAACAACAAAAAATAAAATGCATCTGAATCAGCAAGGAAGTCAACCTTTCTTCACAGATGATGTGTACTCTATGTGGAAAACCCGAAAGACTCTACCTCAAAATTGTTAGAACTCATACAGGAATTCAACAGACTGGCAGGATATAAAATCAATGCATAGAAATCAGTTGCATTCCTGTACAATGAGACAGAAGAAAGAGAAATTAAGGAATCAGTCCCATTTACAATTGCACAAAAAAAAAAAAACATGAGATACCTAGGAATAAACCTAACCAAAGAGGTAAAGGATCTGTACTCTGAAAACTGTAGAACACTCGTGAAAGAAATTCAGGAAGACACAAAGAAATGGAAAAAATGTTCCATGCTCATGGTTTGGAAGAACAAATATTGTTAAAATGTCTTGCTATCCAGAGCAGTCTCTACGTTCAATGCAATCCCTATCAAAATACCATCAACACTTCTGGAACAAATAATGCTAAAATTTGTATGGAAATCACAAAAGACTCTTGGTTCGCCAAAGGAATGTTGAAAGAGAAAACCAAAGCTGGTGGCATCATAATTCCAGACTTCAAGCTCTGTTACAAAGTTGTCCTCACCAAGACAGTATAGTACTGACACAAAAACAGATGCAGAGATCAGTGGAACAGAATAGAGACCCCAGAAACAGACTCTCGACTCTATGGCCAGCTAATCTTTGACAAAGCAGGAGAGAATATCTACTGGAAAAAGGACAGTCTCTTTAATAAATGGTGTTGGGAAAATTGGACAGCTACATGCAGAAGAACGAAACTGGATCATTTCCTTACACCAGACACAAAAATAGACTCAAAATGGATGAAATACCTAAATGTGAGACAGTAATCAATCAAAACCCTAGATGAGAACACAGGCAGCAACCTCTTTGACCTCAGCCGCAGCAACTTCCTACTAGTCTCCAAAGGCAAGGGAAATGAAGGCAAGAATGAACTATTAGGACTTCATCAAGATAAAAAGCTTTTGCAAAGCAAAGGAAACATAGCAAAAGACAACCTACAGAATGGGAGAAGATATTTGCAAATGTCTTATCAGATAAAGGGCTGATATCCAAAATCTATAAAGAACTTATCAAACTCAATGTCCAAAGAACAAATAACCCAGTCAAGAAATGGGCAGAAGAAATGAACAGACATTTCCCAAAGAAGACATACAAATGGCTAATAGACACAAAAAATGCTCAACATCACTCGGCATCAGGGAACTCTACAAATCAAAACCACAATGAGGTACTATCTCATATCAGTCACAATGGGTAAAATTAACAAGTTAGGAAACCACAAATGTTGATGAGGATTTGGAGAAAGGGGAATCCTCTTACACTGTTAGTGGAAATGCAAGCTGATGCAGCCACTCTGGAAAACAGTATGGAAGTTCCTGAGAAAGTTAAAAATGGAGCTACCCTGCCCAGCAATTGCACTACTGAGTATTTACCCCAAAGATAGAAAGGTAGTGATCAGAAGGGGTACCTACACCCAGTGTTTAAAGCAGCAATGTCCACAAGGGCCAAACTATGGAAAGAGCCCAGATGTCCATTGACAGATAAAAGGATTAAGAAGATGTGGTCTATATATACAATGGAATACTACTCAGCCATCAAAAAATGAAATCTTGCCATTTGCAACCATGTGGATGGAACTAGAGGGTATTATGCTGAGTGAAATAAAGACAAATATCATGTGATCTCACTCATGTGAAATTTAAGAATCAAAACAGAGGATCATAGGGGAAGGGAGGGAAAATAAAATGACAAAATCAGAGAGGTTAAACCATAAGAGACCCTTAATCATAGGAAACAAACTGAGGGTCGCTGGAAGGGATGTGGGGGGGGGAGATGGGGAAACTGGGTTATGGACATGAAGGAGGGTTTGTAACTGTAGTGAGCACTGGGTATTTTTATAAAAATCACTGAACTCTACCTCCAAAACTAGTAATATACTATATGTTAATTAAGTTAAAAAATAAAAAATAAATAATATGAAAATTTCCATAATATAAAAATGTTTTTAAAAGGAAGGCAGTAAACCAGGAAGCATCGCTTTGAAGTTAGTACATGATAACAGCCAGGTTGCATGTGCCCAAAGGAGCGAGTGTTTTTATACCTAGAAAATATGAAGCTGCTAAAACCTTTGGGGCAGGGAAGAGGATAGCAGGCCTTTTCTCTGGACCCTGAGGCTTTGAGATATGGGAGAATTAACCTGACCGGAGACACCATAATGGTAGTGCTGCCCTCAGCATATGGACTGGTTTCAATTCAGACAAAGAAGTAGAGTTAGAAAAGGGATTGGGGATTCAGATGAATTCCTATAGAATGAATTGTCCTTAAATAACCAAAGAAGCAGATCTGTTTTCCTGACAAGATTAGTAAAAGGTTTTAGGATCTCATCTTTTAGGAATGATATCTAATTTTTCTTGTAGCTTTTTTTTTTTGTGAATTCAGTATTATTTTATCCAGTTACACAGATTTTCAATGAAAACATGTGGAAAGGAGAAGGGGAAAATATTTTCAGTGATTTTTCATATGCATTCAGTGTTTGAATGTAAAGACAGTTAATCAGTGGAATTGAGGAATGCATATGATACCACACTATTTCAGAAGCATACGTGACAGGATTTGGCAACGTTTTTAAAAAGGGATATCCTCTCCCCTTTATTCCCTGTCACTATTTTTTATATTCCCCAAATGAGACCATTAAGGGGAGGTGGGCGGGGGGTGGGGGTAACTGGGTGACGGGCACTGAGGTGGGCAGTTGACGGGATGAGCACTGGGTGTTATTCTATATATTGGCAAATTGAACACCAATAAAAAAAATAAATTTATAAAAAATAATAAAAAATAAAAAGGATATCCTCTAGTATATATTAATGGTAGTAATTCATTTTTTTGGTCAAAAACAGGAAATTAGACCATTATACTATGAAATTATATCAGTGTTTCTTCCTTTTAAACATGAACAGATTAAATGTGGCATGTGTCATATATTGCATAATCGATTGATGGAGCAAGAAATGTGTTCTATCAGCTGGTTACTTAGTGATACTTAAATAACTTTATTTGTATAATTTAAAAAATGATGTTTAAAGATGATTTAAAGCAGGAGTAAATGATTTATTTATAGTCCAACCTGTTTTTAAATTTAAGGACCATCATTGGGAAGCAGTGACTGTGCCTGAGGATAAAGTACAGATATACAGCATTGAAGGTACTAAACTTGTTTTCTCTCATTCTCCTCTGGATTCTTATCACGTGGAGTAGCAGTTGTATGCTCTGGGGAAAAAATAGACTAATGAAAAAAGTCAACATTTTCATATATTCATATTCATAAATTTGATAGTTCAGTATCATCAGAATTCCCTGAATCCACATTTCCCCCACCGTCAATTTCCCAACTCCTTCCTGTACTTTCTTTATCTAATCTAAAAACCTATGTGATCAGTCAGTTTCTTGTCAGTATGTTCAGGGCTCTTGCCCTTTTATTCTATTAGTTTGATTAGATCCACACATCTCATTCCTGCACGTCTATACCTGGAACTGTATAACACTGCTGGCAGAGTCCTCCAACTTGGCGGACTGATACCACTACACATTCAGATATCAAGCTTTATTTGAGTCATTTCAATGGGGATGTAGTGGTATCTCATGATAGTCTCTAATTGCATATTCCTGTTAACTGGATATGTGATGCACTTTTGCATTTGCTTGGTGGCCATTCATATGTATTCCTTTGTGAAGTATCCATTTAAACATTTTGTCCTTTTTTACTGGACTTTTTTTTTAAGTTTGAATTCTTACATATTGTTGGTATCAAACCTTAGATAGATGTTCTGTGTGTATTTTCTCCCCATCTGCATCTTGCTTATTTATTTTCTTAGTCATGTCTTTAATGAGCAGAAGCCTTTAAATTTGAAGTCCCCTGATCAGTTTTTTCATTTGTGCTTATTGCTTTGTGTGCCCTAAGTAATTCTTGCCTACTACCAAGTCACAAAGTTGTTCTTTTGTTTGTCTATAAAAACTTTATGGTAGACTGCTGTGATGGCCTTTCTGTCATTCCTGATGTTTCATACTTATATATATATATTTTTCCTAATCAGTCTGATGAGAGGAATATCAGTTTACTGGTATTGTCAAAGAACCAGCCTTTGGTTTCATTAATTTTTCTCTATTGTTTTCTATTTTCAATTTAGTTGATCTCTACTCTTATGTTTATTGTTTCTTTTTTTTCTGCTTGATTTAATTTGCTTTTCTGTTTCTGATGTCTCAGGGTAGAAACTGAGGTCATTGATCAAAGACTGTTTATTCTTCTAATGGAGCAATTTACAGCTTTAAATTCTCCTCCTAAGTACTTCCTTAGCAGCATCTCAAAAATTACAATATGTTGTGTTTCTATTTTCATTAATCTGATCCTTTTGAAGTTTCTCTTTTGATTTCTTTCTTGATCCATAGGTTTATTTAGAAATTTTTTATGTAGATTCTATATATTTGGGATTTTATTTTATTTTTAAAGATTTTATGTATTTATTTATGAGAGACACAGAGGCAGAGACACAGGCAGAGGGAGAAGCAGGCTCCTGGTGGGGAGCCTAATGTGCAACTCGATTCCAGGATCCTGGGATCACAACCAGAGCCAAAGGCAGACACTCAAACCACTGAGCCACCCAGGTGCCCCTATATTTGGGATTTTAGAGATAACTTTGTTATTGATTTCTAACAATTTCATTGTTGTTAGAGAGTGTACTTTAGTATGATTTAAGAATCCTTTTAAATATATTGCCACTTGGGGTGTCTGGGTGGCTCAGTCAAGCATCTGCTTTCGGTTAAGGTCATGATCTCAAGGTCCTGGGATCAAGTCCTGTGTTGGGCTCCCTGCTCAGCTGGGAGTCTGCTTCTCCTCCTCTTTCTACCTGCTGCTCTCCTTGCTTGTGCTCTCTTGCTTGCTCTCTATCAGATAGATAAAACCTTTTAAAAAATGAATAAATATATTGATACTTACTTTATGACCCTGCGTATGGTTTGTCTTGGTCAGAGTTCTGTATGCACTTGAAAGGAATGGGTCTTCTGTTGTTGGGTGAAGGGTTGGGTTGAGAGTGTAACTCCAGTTTTCTGTAGCCTCACTATTGCCTACTTGTTCTATCAGTTTCTGAGAAGGAGGTATTGAAGTCACATACAGCTGACTTTTTCCTATTCTTTGATTTATATCATTTTTTGCTTCAGGTATTTTCACTTTCTGTTGTTAGTTGTATAAAGATGTAGTAGAATCTTTTCATGTTAAATTGACCTCTTTGTCATTATGAAATGATCCTCTTCCTATGGTAAAATTGTTTGCTATGTAATGTGCATTCATATTAAGATATCGTCTCAGGCTTTCTGTTGATTAGTTATGGCATGGCATATCTTTCTTTCCTTTATTTTTAACTTATTTTTGTCAATATATTTCAAGTAGATTATTTGTAGACATCATACACTAGAGGTCTTATTTTTCAAATATAACTTGACAATGTCTGCCTTTTAATTATGGCATTTGATGTGATCAGTGATATGCTTTAAATTTACCATTTAGCTCTTGTTTTTTCTACCTGCCATTTCATCTGCCGTGTGTGGTTTTCTCTTTTTTTTTTTTTTTGTATTAATTGTTTTTTTCAGTAATTTTATTATATCTCATTTGTTGGCCTTATACCTTCTTTAATTAAAAAACACTGGTTGATTTGGGGTTTATTTTATTCATCTTTAATAGTGTGTATATTCAAGGAATATTATACCCTTTTAGATGTAACACGGGATCCCTATAACAGTGTATTACCACTTTTGCTTTCCTGGCTTTTGTGCCATTGCTGTCAATAGGTATGAAAAAGGTTTTTGTTTGTTTGTTGTTGTTTTGCTTTTTCTTGTGTCAGAAACCTTGCAATATGGTGTAATGATTTTGGCTTTATGCAGCCAATTAGCTTCTAAAGAGATTTTAAAAATGGATTAAAATGTATTTTGTATTTACCTACACATTTAGCATGTCCAGTGTTTGGTTTTCCTTTGTGTGGATTCAGATTTCTACCAGCTCCTGTTTTCCTTTTAAGAGACTTCTCTAATATGTCCTGTAGCACAATACGCTGGTGATGAGTTCTTTTAGTTTTTATAGATCAGAAAAATCTTTTGTTTTCATTTTTGAAAAGTACTTTTGATATATGTCAAATTTTAGATTGCCTGTTGTTTTAGTTTAGTTTACTTTAAAGATGTTATTCTACTGTCTCCTGTCTTCCTGTCTTGTGTTGTTTCTGATGAGAAATCTACTGTCATTCTCTAGTTTGTTCCATTTTATTTAAAATCTTTTTAAAATCTGGCTGCTTTTAAGATTTTTGTCTTCATCACTAGTTTCAAATAATTTCATCACACTGTTTTAGTGTGATTTTCTTCATGTTGTTTGTTCTTGAGGTTCATTGAGCTTATTTGTTCTGTGGGTTCATAGTTTTCATCAAATTTAAAGTTTTCATCCAGTATTCTTCAAATATTTTTTCTGCTGGTTTGTTCTTCTCCTCTCCTCTGGGGACTGATTATACAGACACTAAGCTACCTGAAGTTTTCCCACAGCTCACTGATTCTGTGGTTTCTCTATTCCATCCAACCCAGATTCCCCGCCCCCCCCTTTTTGTATTTGAATACCTTTGTTGTATTTCATGATCATTAATATTTTCTTTAGCAGTTTCTAATCTGCCTCTGATCCTATTCTGTATAATGTTTACCTCTGCTATTATATTTTTCATCTCTGGAAGTTTGACTTGGGTCTTTTTTAAGTTAATTTTTAAATTTTAGAATAGTTTTAGATTACAGAAAACTTGCCAAAATAGTACAGAAATTTTACATGTACCTCTTCACTGAGTTTCTCCAATTTTTAAAATTTTGGTCAAGAAAAATAAATACAACATAAAATTTGTTACCTTAACTAATTTTAAGTGTATAAGTTCAGTAGAGTTAAGTGTATTCACATTACTGTGAAACAGATCTCCAGAATCTTTGTCATCTTGCCAAATTGTAACTCTAGACCCATTAAACAACTTTTTTTCTCCACCCACTCAGCCCCTGGTAACCACAATTCTACATTTTTCTTCTGAGAATTTGACTATTTTAAGTGGAACCATACAGTGTATATCTTTTGTGACTGTCTTTTTTTCATTTAGCATGGTGTTTTCTCCCATGTGTGTTTTTTTTTTTAAAGATTTTATTTTCTTTAATCTCTACACCCAGTGTGGGGCTGGAACCCACAATTCCTAGATCAAGATCCACTGACCGAGCCTGCCAGGAGCCCCTCATTTTTTAACTTTTCCATCTTTTTTTAAAACCTCGTATATGTTTATGGTACCTGTGCTATTGCATTTTAAAACAAAAAGCCTACTTGGATCTTCATCTTCCTCTATTCAGCTCATTTTTTTCCATTCATAGCCAATTTTGAGAGATAATTTTTACTAAATCATTTTTTTCTTCTGCTTTACAGTTCTGTTCTTACTGTGTTCTGTTTTCCATCCCACTCCACTGAAATTTTAGATATCAGAGTAATAGTTAACTTTATTATTCATATCAGTATGCAAACTTTGAGTCCTTATACTGACCCTTCCCTCACATTTGATGCTGTTGCCTGCACTTTCATTTTTGAATCTATTTTCCTAATTTCTCAAGTAAGCTCTAGATAGTCCTCCTTTATCTCCTATTTTGAAAAACAGTATGATAATCTTCCAGGTCTACCAGTACAGGAGCCATTCTTGCTTGTTTCCTCTCCCTCAACTAATCATTTTCCACGTTCTCTTAACATTTTTAAAATTTCTTTTCTCCCTTTATTTTCACACTACTCACTGCCTCCACTTCCTAACAAAGCTCTGTCTTTTGCATCTTGCCAAATGTAATTGCTTGTAATTGGCGGGAAAAAGTTATTTTCATTGTTTTAATAGCATAACCTGAAGTTGATTTTTAAGATTTATTTTCAAATATATATCTCATCCTAATTTTATGAGGACCGTTTTATAAAAAATTAAGTTCTTTATGTATAGATTAAAAGGGGTTTTTTTTTTTAAGATTCCTGGTTGGTGAATAAGAATGAATCTTCATGCCAGGAGGGTAGTGCACCCTAAACTGGAGCTCCTGTGCTCCAGACCCTTCCAGACCTTACACTGTGTATCTCTTCACCTGGATGTTCATGTGTATCCTTTAATATCCCTTGTAGTAAAGTGGTAATCTATATATGGAACAGGCAATATCTGAATTTTTACACAAATGGCACTCATGATACTAAAAAAAGTGGAACCTGAAAATCAATGAATATTTCTTTTTTTAAAATAAATTTATTTTTTACTGGTGTTCAATTTGTCAACATATAGAATAACACCCAGTGCTCATCCTGTCAAGTGCATACCTCAGTGCCCGTCACCCAGTCACCACCCCCCAACCTCCCCTTCCACCACCCCTAGTTCGTTTCCCAGAGTTAGGAGTCTTTCATGTTCTGTCTTCCTTTCTGATTATTTCCCACTTATTTTTTCTCCTTTCCCCTTTATTCCCTTTCACTATTTTTTATTTGGGGAATATAAAAAATCAATGAATATTTCTAGTGAAAAAGAATTTCAGTAGTTGCAGACTGGGGGAATAGGGAAGCAGCAGCATGAGGGAGTGCAGGCAGTTAGACTCTTTTTTATAGAATATGTAAGAATTTATAAAATAAAGGCTCCATGGACAATCTTAAAATGTTCTAAGTGCCTTCACAGGAGAAAACATTATTATATTCATATAGTGTACTAGAATCTCATAAAATATGTTTATCTATAAATAGATTTTTTTTTTATTTTATTTAAAGAGAATGTGTTCATGCAAGCACACAGAAATGGGAAGGGGGAGAGGAAGAGAAAGTCACAAGCAGACTCTGCACTGCGTGCAGAAGCCATCACAGGGCTCAATCTCACAACCCCGAGATCATGACCTGAACCAAAACCAAGAGTTGGATGCTCAACTGAGCCACCCAGGCACCCCAAAACACTTGGCTTTTTTAGCAGGCAACAAAATAACTTTTTCTAGTACCTCAGTAATATTGCTGATTAAAAGCAAGCCATGATATAGAACAGGCAGTTAAAGGAAATACCAGAAATTTCAACAAAGCCCATAATAAAATATAACAAATATCAATAAATTCTTATGTAGTCACAATATATGTGGAGAATACTTTGTATAAATGGTACAAAGCATTCAGCAATATTTGAAGTAATTCTAATACCATGTTTATGTGAGCTGTGTAGCAAATAATGTATTTATTGTAAGTTCATAGTAAGCTGTAGGAAGAAATTAGAGTGATATAATAATCAGCAAAAATATCCATAAGAATTATATATTTTCTAATATTCATCATCAGAATTCAAAATATTATTGTCTTCAAAGTCACCCAGACTTTCATCTCTAAAGCCTGAAAACTGTTAATGTTGAAATATACAACTTTTTTTTTCCCCAAAATAAAGCCACCAGCACTCTTTTGAGTTAGAAACTGTCACCACTATCTTCAAGCTATTAATAATTCTTATTACCATCAAAGGATATTACTGTGGAAGTTCTTCATACCATATAGTTGCAAAAACAAATAACACATAATCTGCTTGAGTAAACCTCATAGAAATCAGAATTTTATAGCTAATAGGGACATTTGTCCTATAGGTTAGGTCATAAAGTAGCCAGCAAAGCTTTCCCTGATGTAGAAACAAATTTTTCTAGTTGGTATGCTCCATCTCCATCAGGATGTTTTCCTCTCACCCAAAAATATACATTGGTGGCAGGTGTGGCAACTTGGCAGTCAACAGGAGCACCATCAGAAGTAGGACAGGGCCATAGTGGCCTTTAGTCCATAATATAGGCACAGTAATTGGATGTCATGTGATTCTTTGGTGAATTTTGAAAGAAGGGAGGTGAATACCTCTTTTAAACTGACATGCACAGTATTTTCAGTGGATCATTTAATTCATGGAGGAATTGTACTGATTCTTCACAGTTTCTTGGCACTCAAGGTTTTTGACAGTTGTTTTCTGTCAGCTTGTAATAGCTGGGTTTAATAGAAATGTTGGCATATATGCTTATGCCTAGAAATATCGTTTTTTTAAAATTTTTATTTATTTATGATAGTCACACAGAGAGAGAGAGAGGCAGAGACACAGGCAGAGGGAGAAGCAGGCTCCATGCACCAGGAGCCCAACGTGGGATTTGATCCCGGGTCTCCAGGATCGCGCCCTGGGCCAAAGGCAGGCGCCAAACCTCTGCGCCACCCAGGGATCCCAAATATAGTTATTTTTGGAACTAGAGTTATTTTCTTTGTTTGCCTGTTTTAAATTAAGCAAATAGTTTTCTTGGATGTGTTTTAGGAATATTTATTAAGAACCTGTTAGTGTCTAGTGTATTTAGGGCTTTAACTCAGTAGTTACTGTATCAGCTTATAATTTATAGATCAGGAACTAAGACTGTGAAAAGTGAATTGAATTGATTTGTTTACATAACTAGTTGGTACTGGAATTGATTGTTAAATCCTAAAAGCTAATGTTATTTCATTTCAATTTAATTGATATGCTACATGATTTTCTTATACCTATAGAGTGGCATAGTAGAAATGAATATAAACTAATTGATATGATTTGTTTGTGTATAGTGAGAGAATCGAAGAAGCTACTGACCATAATTCTGAAAAACATCATAAAAATTAGTAAAAGAGAAGGGAAAGAATTGCTTTTGTATTTTGATGCATCATTAGAAATCACTAATGTGGCACGAAAAATTTTTGGTGCAAGTAAATATAGGGTAAGTGTTTAAATTCTTTTTAATATTTATTTTCATAAAATTATTTTTAATATTTTTCCATAATTATGGAAAGTTTAAGTTACTTGGGACTATAAGTTTCATTGACTTTTTCCCCTAGAATTCTTAAAATGACATGTTGATTTTTAGTTCTTTAAATTTGTATTGTGGAATAACCATCAGATTGTTAGCAATAACCTTGAGACACCCGTTAGAATCTCAGATGACAAAAAAAGCTGAAGTATTCGGAACATATAATGAATTCCTGCTAGTTTAAAAAGTGAATTGAGATAAGGCCATGTTTTTAAATTAATAAACATTATGAGAATTACAGAATCTACCTCAGAAGAAGGGAATGAGGGGCATAGCAAAAATGAAGTAAAGAAGTTGAGAAGAGAGCATGCTCATTAAAAGTCAAATTTGAAGGAAAGTCTATGCAGATGGGTCTTGAAATGGCCTTGGAGGCAAAATTTAGAGAAGATGCTTTCTAAGACCAGGGAAGACATCATGAATCAGTAAGGTGATGATTCATGTTATGTTTCAGGGAGCTATTCTGTTGACAAGTTTGGATAGTGCAAGTCTTTGTTCAGGCTGCTGTAACAAAAATACTGTAGACTGGGTGGCTTAAATGACCTACCTTCCTTCCTTCCCTTCCTTTCTTCTTTCCTTCCTTTCCTTCCCTTCCTTCCTTTATGCCTGCCTGCCTTCTTTCCCTCCCTTCCTCCCTCCTTCTCCTTCCTTCCTTCCTTCCTTCCTTCCTTCCTTCCTTCCTTCCTTCCTTCCTTCCTTCCTTCCTTCCTTCCTTCCTTGGTTTCCATTTATTATTTCCACTTATTTCCCATAGTTCTGGAGGCTAGAAGTCCAAGAGCAGGGTACCAGCAGGCTTATTTTCTGGTGAGGGCCCTCTTCCTGGTTCACAGTGGCTGTCTTTTCACTCTATCTTCACATGGTAGAAGACATGAGGGAGCCTTCATTTTATAAAGGCACTGATCTCACTCACAAGGGTCCTGCCCTGATGACCTGATGACCCAATGCCTCCCAAAGGTCCCACCTCCTAGTATCATCTCTTTGGGGGTTAGGTTTCAGTATATGCATTTGAGAGGGACACATTCAGTTCATGGTAGATTTATGGTAAAGAAAAATAGAGACTGTGTTTGTGGAGAAGGGTATTTATATATACAAAATAATGATTTGAAATAATTTGGCAGTTTTGAAAGGAAACAGTAAATAATTGCATTAACTTGGAAAGAACTGGGAGAAAATGACATCACTTTGAATTAATTTGATTTTAGGAATTTACCAGAAAACAAGGTATCTCAGTTGCCAAAACATCTGTACATATACTTTTTGATGCAAGTGGATCACAGGTATGTGTCAGACTTCTGGATTTTTATCACTGAGCTAAATTGAACCTTAAATACTTGAAAGGTGAATATTTAAAAAATAGTCTCAACATATAGTGCCCTATTAAGATATGTGATTTTTTAAAACATGTTATTAATGATCATTTATTTTAGTACAAAAGATAGTTACAAATACCCTTTTGATAAGTTTAAAAATTAGAAGTATCTGTCCTGGCACTAATTCCAAAGATTGTTTTATGTCTGTTGACATTTGAAGATGTGGATGATTTTTGTTGGGTCATTTTGTAGGATTAAGCACATAGGAAACAGAAAGAATTGACTTTTTAAGTATGGATGAATGGGTACTTTATTAAGACATCAGTGTTTTGAGAACTTCTTGTGGTTTGCAGTTTGAAATACTTTTTTCCATATTCTCCTACAGATTCTAGTGCCAGAAAGTCAAACCTCACCCATTGAAGAGGAACTCATTACTTTGAAAGAAAAACCTAACTCCCAAAAGGAAGATGTGAAACCTCCAAAAAACATCAAAAACAGTAGTCAAGTGGATGGAAAGAATAGTCAGCTGGAGGTAAATTTGGTGTCAAAATAGTTGTTTATAAAACAGCATAGATCAAATCATTGCTACATACAATTAATAGAAAAAGCATATAGAAGTTACCTTAATGGCCTTCATCAATAACATGTCAGAGTATTTTCCCCTGCCTTTTACAAACGCAAATGAAAGATAGTGTTTTAGCAACTGTGTTTATGTTTAGAGGTAAGAAAGTTAGGACAGGTATAGCATACACTTGTAAATTCCAAGTTAGAAATATGTAAAAAAAAAAAAAAGTACCATGTTTTGTATTTATCCTGTCTGTTCTCTATTTGCTTTTGGCTGTGATATAGAATACATCTATAATGTGTAACGTTCTCTTTATTTGTACAAGGAAAGAAAGCTAAGTGTTAATTCTTTTTCCTCCTCTTCCTGCTCTGTGGAGGCTCTCCTTTAGGCACATTCAAAAGAACCATTTCTCAGCCTTCTAATCTTGTTGTGACACTTGTCATTGCTAACGGCCCCGTCTTAATGTCCTCTCCTTTTTTTTTGGTTTCTGTTAGCATTTTAGTTCTCTTCCTACTTCTGTTACTACATTAAAGATACTTTTTATCCCCACATCCTAAATGTAGATTTGCTCTGAAAGCTTGACTCAGCCTCCTGAACATCTCCATGCCTTCTCCCTTAAAAGGCTGTTTTCAAAGTGCTTGCAGCAAAGTCTCCACTTATTCTTTGAATGTTTTCCTTTTGAATGTCCCTTCTTTTCCTGAAGTCTAACCTCAAACTCTTTTATCTTTTGCTTCAAACTTGTATCTGCATTCAAAATTCAATAATGCTACCATTAATTTTCCGATGGTATCCTGATTCCCACCTCCTCTCTCCTCATACCTAGGACCAAGGTACTAGTGGTGGCCCTTTCCTAGTACCTCTCACATCCTTTCCTCATTCCCTTCACCCTTGCTCATATTATTTTACTTTTTAAAAAAGATTTATTTATTCATAGGAGACAGAGAGGCAGAGACACTGGCAGAGGGAGAAGCAGGCTCCCTATGGGGAGCCTGATGCAGGACTCGATCCCAGGACTCCAGATTCACAACCTGAGCCAAAGGCAGACGCCCAACTACTGAGCTACCCAGGTGCCCCAGCCCTTATTCATTTTAGCATACCCAGCTCAGTACAATAACCTCCTCCTTGGTCTTTGACACTGTGAACTCCCCTATGTGGTGTACCTTCTGCTGGTTTTTCTTAGTCCCAGAGTCCTTATCACATTCTTCTGCTCAGAAAATTTGGGGACCTGCATCTACATTTTGACTCAATTCTGAGACCTTGTACAAGTTCATTTTATTCTACGTACTCACCACTTTAGTGAGGCTAATTGCTTTCCTGCCTCCTTTTATGCCACACTCATTCTTGCTCTATACTTTGGTGTCTGTTGTTTGTCCTTTTTTTTTACCCTTCCTCATTTCAAGTGCCCTTACGTTTGCGAGTCTTGATTAATTTTCACTTTTCTTCATGGACGTTTTCCTATTTTTATTTTTACTAATCTCTCACCTTTAGGCAACTGTAACTACTTTCATAGGCTCTTCCACACATTTTGGCATATTGATGTTAATATTTTTTACCTCATTAGTCTTGTATCCTTAATTAAGTGAAAAATGCCATCTTCTGTTTTCCTTAGACAATTAAATTATAAAAGCCATTTTCTATGTCTTTATATCAAAATCATAAATTGAGTACTTATTTAAAATTCTGATTCTTAAAAAAAATAAAAATAAAAAAATAAAAAATAAAATTCTGATTCTTAGGACTCCCACCTTTAATTTATTGAGTCATAAACTCTAGAAAAGATCTCTGAGAAACAGTGCACTGTCATTAAATACTCACTGTGCTTTTGTTTAGGATTGAAGCATTTATATGAATAGGTAATTTTCCAAGTCCCATTCACTATGCCACTAGGAACTGTCATTTCTTGACTAATCCATTGGTTTGGTAGTTTGTTTTCTGGTTAATCATAGAATTCCCCATTTTCCTCTCCTTTCCACCTTTCCTCCACACCCCATTTACAGACCTATTAAAAACTCCTGCAGTATTGTTTTCTTTGTCTTAGGGACAGATGCCTTTTGAAAAACAGCACTCTTCTGCCTCTACAGTTTGTCATCATCTATACCCTTTCATGGGGTCCTCTGAAACTCCTGTCCCTGTAGCCCCAGCCTCTGCCTGTCTGCTTCTGTTCATCTCTTGAATAAAGTTAGGAAATGCACATCTTTACTGGAACCACTAGCTCATATGCTGCTGAGTCTCTGAATTCCTGTAGCCACTTTTTACTCTAAGGTTACTTTAGTCTCCACAGAATATTAATATAGTTTTAAAAATGTGTGGAATTTTTGAAGAATCCTAAACATTATGAAAGCATTCACACATTTACATAAATATATATCCAAACATCATACACTGAAATAGAATAAGAAACTGAGCCATTGGTTGTAGATATACTATCAATAAAATATTTGCAGCTTGTTTATAAGGGGGCTGTATTTCATTTGTCTTGATATACTATAAATACTTTTTAAAACAACATTCTTGGGATGCCTGGGTGATCCTGGAGTCCCGGGATCAAGTCCCACATTGGGCTCCCTGCATGGAGCCTGCTTCTCCATCTGCCTATGTCTCTGCCTCTCTCTCTGTGTCTCTCATGAATAAATAAATAAAAATCTAAAAAAATTAAAAAATTAAAAATGAAATAAGGAATGTTTTGGCTGCCTATTCAATACCAAATATTAGGGTAAAATATCTTATGTCAGCCTAAAAAAACAGAAATTTATGGATATCATGTTGTTTATAAAATACCATGTATCAGAGGTGCCTGCAGGGCGCAGTCATTGAACATCCAAATCTTGATTTTTGGCCCAGGTAGTGATCGATCCTGGGATCGAGACCTGCACATGGGGGTCTGTGCTCAGTATGGAATCTGCTTATCCCTCTCTCTCTGCTCCTCCCCCTGCTCATGCTCACTCTCTCCGTCTGTCTCTGAAGTAAATGAATAAAATCTTTAAAAACATACCATTTATATTTTGTGTGCAGACAGAATAAAATGTTATGGAGAAGATGATAGAATGTGTGTTTACTGTGGCTGCTTCTTGTGGTTTCAGATAATTACTCCTGGCAAAAGAAAAATGTCTGAAGCATCAATGATTGTTCCTGGTGCAGATAGATACACTGTGAGAAGTCCAATACTTTTAACCAATACCTGTAAGTTTTGTAGTCTTAAAAGACTTCTAATAAACATTATATTTTTAAAACAGGCATTTTTTAATTCAGATATTTGGGCATAATTTACCTAGGTGATAAGTTGGGAACATAGAAATTAAGATACGAACCACAGATGTCTTCTACTTGTCAAGAAATTTCAAATTTTTTAGAAAGGTATATTGGTTATTAACATATAAACATTATTTAAAGTATTAATACACAGCATTAATAATTTATTACAATTTAAGAGGGAGTCAGCTGCCACATAGTGGATAAAACATTGAATTAATCAGGACGCATGGGCTTATTTCTCCACCCCCAGATGTATACTTGGTACAGATTATCCCCCAGATAAGTGTAGAACCAGTTTTCTTTTTTTTTTTTAAGATTTATTTATTTATTCATTCAGAGAGAGCGAAGAGAGAGGCAGAGACACAGGCAGAGGGAGAAGCAGGCTCCCTGCAGGAAGCCCGATATGGGACTCGATCCTGGGCCTCCAGGATCACACCCCAGGCTGCACGCTGCGCTAAACTGCTGGGCCACCGGGGCTGCTTGAACCAGTTTTCTTTTTATAAAATGGAACTAAAGTGTCTATCTCAAGTTGTTTAGAAGACTAAATAAAAACTCTTCATTCAATAAGGAATATTGTGAAATATTTAGGCAGTGCCTGATACATACTAAGGGCTAAATACAAATAAAAAAAATGCTATATGCTAGCTGCTATAAAACACAGTCTTATTTGGCCTTTATGGCAATTTAAATGTGACCTTCTGTTCCCCTAATCCAGTTGCCTACTGGGCAGTTGTCTCATGTCCAGTAGGCTTCACAATGAATTCATCTTTCCATCCTCCCTGCCAATGTTTTGTCCATTTCTTACCTTGGTAAATGGCATCTGTATCTACTTACTCATTTAAACCAGAAACCTGGGACCCATCCTTGCACCTCCATTTTTTACCTTCTTCATCTGAAAAGTATCTTCTTCATCTCAAGAATCGCAGTATGTAATTTTAGAAGCCCTATAAATACAGCAGTCCTCTGTCCTCCTTGTTAGCAGCACCCCGAAGAGGAAGAACTAAACCACCGCTGCAAATGACGAGTTCTGCAGAAAAACCCGTTACTCCTAAAATGTCGGAAGGTCAAGTGGGCAATGCCGTATCTCTTATATCTAGACCATCTGAAGAAAGAAATAGTGGAGATAATACAGACAAAGTAACTTTACTTTGAAAACATTTTTAAAAATTAATTTTATTAAGTTTTTGTAGAAATACAGATTGAGCTAACTTCTTTTGTAAGCAGTGAGTGCCTCACTTTGTTTAAAGTATCACCATTAAATGTGTTTATTGTTCCTTAAAGTCAGTTCCTTCTGACAAGACTCATTTATTGTGCTAACAGTAAAATTTAGGAATATCCATTCAGTATAACTGATTTGTATATTCAGTAGGAGAAATGGACTTGACATCACTGTTTAATTATACAAGTTAGTGTCTTCTAGAAATGTAAAATACAAGTGGACTTTGTCCTTAATTATCTCAAAGTCTAGTGTGGAAATTAGGCAGATTAATAAGATAATTATAATATTGTATAAATGTTCCCAGATTGTACTTATAGGATACAGTAGGAACCTAGGGGAGGGGAAGGTGCCGAACACCAGAGCTGGAGGGGAGGGTGAAGACCAGGGGATGCTCTTTAAAGAGATGGAAAGTGAGTTGATATTTTTGAAGGGTCGATAAAGGTTAATCAAATGGACATCAAGGAGAAGGGCATTCATTCAGGTAGTCGAAGGGACAGAGCAGAGAATAGCTAAGAGAAAGTTATTTCCTGAAGAGATAGAGGAGGTAGCCCGAGATACAGATAAGTTTATAGATAAGAAACGCCTAATAGCTTTTGTTTTCTCTAAAGTGTGAGGTGGGAACATGGTGAATTTGTCTTGGTGATATGCTGAAGTAAAGGGCTCAGGGCCATGTAAAGACTTGAAACAGCTGCTATGAGATAATAGGGATAAGTAAAGGGTAATGAAGAATAAGTAAAGGTGTTAGGCAAGATTGAAGGCCCTTTCAATTTAAGACTGAATTTTATTATGGCATCAGTTCAGGAAGAAATATATGTCATTTTCTCCAACAAAGCTTAGCAGCTTTGTTGTTACAGTAAAAAAGAATTGGTGGATTTGAAAAAATGAAATGGTTATGTGGCCAAAGGATGAATGGTGCAAGAGTTGAAGATACTTTTAAAAAGAGTCAAAAGTAACTGTTCACATTATGCAGCTAAGTGTTCCTTATCAGGGCACTGTTGTTCAGTGGTGTGACGTGGTCCTGAGTGTGGTGGGATGGTGGCCATTCCAGGCTTGTGCTTGCTTGTTCCTGTCAGGGGAGCCCTTCTGTCATTGCGATATCAACATGTACCTGCACACTTCCTTGTGGATCCCACACACACACCCTGGGAGATACCCACTGGCCAGACCAAGTAGGGAAGACCCTGGACAGGGCGCAGGTTCTTAGCCTGGAGGGCATATGTTTCTGAAAGCATTGGCAGATTGTTATTGGATCTGGGTACGTGTGTTATCTGTGGCTGTAAAAAAGAGGGAAGCTTAGTGGCGGCAAGAGGTTACCTGTTCAGTGGCCAAGACTTTACAGAATCATTAAATATTCTAGAATTCCCAACTCTTGTGTGTATGTTAGTGAAAAGACAGAATAGATGCAGGCTGTGCGATCAGCTTCAGTAGGAGATGTGCCACAGCGACTCTAGAAATTGTCAGTTACAAGTGAGAATGGACTGACTAGCTGTGGATGGGACCTGCCTTGTCTGCAGTGAAAATCATTTTCTTGTGTTTTAGGATAAGCAAGCAGTATTCTGGAATGGGCATAACCTTTATGAAACAACAGACATACTACCCAACTTTTAATAGCAAGGCAAATTATTTTAAAGGTTTTAAACTTCAATACTCTTGACTTTTAAGTTGTTTTCGTTTAATGCCTTGATTTAAATTTACGTTACCATGTCTCCTATGTGTTATAGCATATTGAAACTGCTAAAGTTATAGAGAAGACAGAAAGTAAGGACACTGAATTCCCAAATCAAAATATTAGTAATAGTAAGTACCTTTTTGGTTGAATTTTACTTTCTCTTAAAAATATATATACACTTCATATTTCCTTTAACTTCACTGGCTTTCATTGATTTGAAAAAGAAAGATTTATAATGAATGTGTTTGGCTTTAGAAAGAAACTTAGAGGTTATGAGGAAATAGAATACAGCCTCTATTTCCAAGAAGATCAGTCTCTGCATCCTAATATGTGAATCTTGACTAATTTCTCTACCAACTCCCATTTTACCCTGCCAACTGCACAGGGTAAAAATTGAAAGTGCTATAATTTTTGTTTTTATTTAGGTGATCTGAAGGATATTGATCCTGATTCCCAGGCAGTAGGAAAAAAAAAAAAACCTGTGTAAGTATGAAGAAAACTATCAGTTAATATATATTAATATTGTTTTTACATAAATTTAATAAATTTAAAAGAAAAGGCTCTTATATTCTTAGAATGTCATACTGGCTGTAGCACTGATCAGCTCAAGTATTACTATGATTGCACAATGGGAGATAGTCTGTGCTTTTTTCATAGCCACCAACATAACTCTTTTCCAAGTTGGGAGACTTCAGTCTTTTTCATTTTAAAATGAATGAGAATTTTAAAATAATAAAGTATGAGTACTTGAGAATAAAGTGTGAGGAATTTAACCTAATTTAAATACTCAGTGGATCAGGTAAAATATGTGAGCTCTATTTAAGTAGATATTGAATAATAGCAACAATGTAACATTTTTAATAATAGTTTTTAATCTGATCAATTACATAGTAAATTTTAACTTTCATAATGACTTACATAAATATTTTTATACTTGACTAATAATAAATTGCATTCAATAAATATTGACTAATTAAAAAATCAAGGTCTCATGTCAGAAATCATAGAAATGATTCAGAAATCATAGAAATCAAACATATAAAACTAATGTTTTATAGTACATTAAGCAAGTTATTTTATTTTCTAGGTTACCTGGTGTTTTGGACAATATATGTGGAAATAAAATGCCCTCCAAATGGTCATGCTGGACACCTGTAACAAATATTAATCTATGTAATAGCCAAAGAGCAGGTGCTTCATCAGGAGACACATTCAGTAAAGGTGAAATATGGTTTTCTCGGTATATAATAGTAGCTCAGAGAAATACTCATTTCCTGAAATGTCTAATAAATATCTTTGATTTTAACAAGTATATGTATTACTGGTTTATTAATTTAATAAGCATTGACTTTTTTTTTATTTTTCCACTAGGTATTATCAACCAAAAACGTATGAAACAAAAGTCATCCTCGTCAATATCTGAGGATAATTCTGAAGAAACAGAAAAGGTGCAATATAAGAAAAAAACAACACAGCAAAACAAAGTAGAGAAAGCAGAAGTGGGAGTTTGCAAAAGAGACACTCAACAACAACTAAATAATCTTAAACATTCGGAGCAGAAAAATACTGAAAACACCAAGCAAAGGGATTGGCATATTGAATCTGAAACTACTTTTAAATCGGTTCTCCTAAATAAGACAGTTGAAGAATCTCTGATCTATAGGAAGAAATACATACTGTCAAAAGATGTGAATACTGCCATTTGTGATAAAAGCCCTTCTCCTAGAAAAAATGTGAAAAGTCACAGAAAATCGGGGAAAAAAATAACATCTGAACTTAATTCCTGGGATTTGAGACAAAAAAAAACGGTGAGCTTTCAGTGTGTTTGCTTTTTGTGTACCTATGATTTGCCTATCTGATAACATAAGGCAGTGAAAGAAGCTTGATGGTTTGCTGCAGATTTAACATTTGTGAGACCTTGTTCTTTAAGTATCCACTCTGACAGTGCCTCCTGAACTCCCTGACCTCATCCTAGGTCTGCCCCCCACCACCACCACAGACCCAGTGCCCAGGGTGTAGGGAGGCTTGCAAACTGGGGTAGCATGAATGCACCTGCAGCTCCTTGTGTCCTCCTGATGGCTTCTTCTACTCTGTCCCGCAGAAGCTTTGAGCATGTATAGAGAACTATCTGTGGCTCTCCTGTGCTTACCTTTCTTTTAAGAAATGGTTATTTTTGTCTATTTTTTCTCTGTTTTAACCAATTAGAGCGTAAAGACTATGTTTTAGTCATCATTTGTTTTCCTGCATGGCCTACCTCAATTTTGAACATAGCATCTGAAACCATTTCTTTGATTATTGCACTGGAGTTTGACAAGTTTTTTTCAAAGAAGAAGAAAAAATCTAGGTGGAGTACAGGAGACTATTTTCTACTGTCCTATTGCTCATCTCCACTGGAGCTCTTACCACCTCCTTCAGATGAATCATCTGTAGGACATCTCTAGGACAGCTTTAGCTAGTGTGCACTGTACTTTAGACTGAAAGTTTACTTTTTGTAGCAGTTATCATAAATCCTTTATTTTGTCATTGCTATCAAGATGCAGATTAAGAAAACTTTTAAATTAGAATACATTCCACTGCCAGTAATAGAATCTGTTTTTCATTGTTCCTTAGAGGATCCAGGTATTATATAGGCATCTATTTTCATGTATCTTCCAGAGTGATATTAACACCTGGATAGCCAAATGTCTAGAGTGATGTAAATGTTCGTCTTGATATACAGATTAAATACTTAATAGAAAATTTGCAGTTATTGTTTATAATCAGACATTATTTCATTTGTCTTGACCAGCCTTATTATTTTGTCTCTAACCTGCAACTCACTTCCTGTGCCTTATTTGGCTACTTACTGTCTTCTTTAACCAAATACTTCTGGGTCATTTTTTTCTTGTTTCTTATTATGTTATTCTTCCTTCTAGTCTTAGCTGCCATTTAGTTCTTCAGATGCAGGGGAAGTAGGTTCTTTTTGTCTGAATGGCGATCTGTTCTTCAATTTTTATTTTAAACTGCTTTCTTTGGAATTTAGGATCATTCCACAGAATTTCCCTGAGCTAGTCATTCATTTTTTCCTGGGAGTATGGAAACTGATCATCTCTTCTAAACTGTGCCCTGATTTTTTGAAATCCAACTTCCTGTTTCCAAAAGGACTCTTCAGTCTTTCATAGTGTGACACCCTGGGTTATTATTATGCAGGATTTCCTGGCACTGGCACTCATGATACTCTTCAAAGATAGTTTCTGATTCTGCTCCCTGTTCACTGGGTTAACCCAGAGAAACAGAACCT